CAGGCTTTATATTATTTAAAAAAAAAATAGAAATCCCTATAATATTACAATAATGTATCTCAAGGTATCAAAAAAACTATCGGGTAGATACTCGTGCAAAGTCGGTGCGAATCACTAGTAATTAATAAAAAAATAACTTCTAAGATTTTAATGCTAACCGTACCGTCTCCCTTACTTTTTCAGTGCACAGCGAGAGTGGAGTGGAATTATACGTAATTGTGTGTTTATTTAGGGCTTCCTGCCAGACGATGTTCCTACCTACTGCGAGGTTATGCGACTCTGGTACACGCTGCTGTAATTATATTTTGAGACACCCCAAACCTCAGTAACGAAAGAAAGAGACGACAAAATTAGAGATAGATAAAGAACTTATAATTATTTTTTTGTTATTGTTTATATTTATAATAAGTTCACTTTTTGGAGGAAACAATAAAGAGTATCTATCTATCTATATCAAAACTATCTTATCTTTGAAACGGCAAACTGTTATAGGATATCCGTTGAAATAGACACGCGTATTGGTCCAATATTTATTGATGCAAATTATTATTATTATCTAACCAGATTTTGTCCGGGGATTTTGGAAACTTTACCCCCTGAGGGGTTGAATATTCAAAATTCCTCTTATAGTTCAGCTAATTTCTTTAATTATTAACTTACGCTATATAAAGAACTTATCTGATGAACCCAAAATGTCAAGTTTTAGGGCTCAAGACTAAGCAGTTTCGGCTGGCCTTTCAAAAAGAAGGTTTTAAATTCGGTTGTATTGTATTATATGTTGTATTTTTTTATGTTTGTTACCTCATACCTCAGATTTAAACCGATTTTAAAATATTTTTTTTATCTGAAAGGATATAGATTGGTCTCACAGAAATTTTAGCAAAACCCGTTCAGTGGTTTAGTTTTTAAATCAAAATAACTGGTTTTGCTATAACTGAAGTAGATTTTTTTTTTGTAGAACACTATTTAATACATGGATGTTAATGACATTTGATGCCAGTGGTATTATAAAAAGGATTCAGTTCAGATATTCTATAACTACTATATAAATAAGAATGGATAGCAAGCGTGGTGTGAGATCTCAGCCAATTGTAATGAAATTTGGTCAACATCAGTATTTGACATATACTTTCCAAACTGTACAACTATATAGATATAAGCTAATCTTGATTCTAGACATGTGTACAACGTCGCGATCACACGTAATAAATACATAATATCTTAATAATCCTTCGGGTCTAAGAGTAGTGCCTTGAAGTACTACTAGATTTTAGGTTAAATTTATTTTAGGAAGATTAATACACGTAACTGCATTATCAAATAATATAATTTGTAAGGGGAAGAGGACCCAGAAATAACTACAAGAAACAGATTCAGAAAATACTAGGTGTCATATCGTGTACAGAGGTCAAAGATATGGCCTAGAATAGGGCTGACTGGAAGAGAATACATGAAATAGTCGCCCAAAAAGATGACATTCTTAAATAAAAGAAAATCACGTACCTGCAATATTAAATAATATAATTTGCAATATGATATTGATACTTCATAAAATAAGAAGCGAAGCAAAAGGTAACGATTCATAAAAAACGTAATTCCCAATGTGGATCCACTTTGTCGGAAGCCTGTGCCAATTCGGCTCATACTAAGCACTTTTTAAACCGCCATTATTTCAACATTGGGAGTCTCAAATTCATTTTAAAAGGAAAGATAAAGGCGACAAAAAACGATCCCACACATTGTAGCCACTATATTTTTATCGGAGCGCCCACGTCCTCCTAATGACGTATCTGTCTTCACGCGTAATATTTCATTAATATTAATGAACTGTGTAATTTGTGCAGTTAGGAGCGTCACCCATTGAAATATAACATTATCTGAATATGGTGAATGTATGGCTTAATTCGTCTATAGTATGAAAGTTAGTGCTTTATTACTATATAGACTCCATGTGTTTACCATAAGACGGACTATATGGATGACGTTTTAAGTGGGACGCTGCTGCCCATCCCTCGCCATCTTTTAGTCGCCTTTTACTATGCCGGGACTACACGTCAATTTAAAGGTTTATTACCAAGTATGAACCTAAAAATTTGTAACGACAGAAACAAAAATAGGAAAACATTAATTTTAATAATGTGCGCAATTATAAAATCTGGTTTTTAAACTACTTTGAAAAAGGAATTATTTTTTCGTATACGGTACGAAATCACAGTTCTTATTTGATTCCAATAAATTATCTTCACATTTGATAGGGTTCAAAAAAGTCTTTATTTTCATAACAAAAAAAAAAACTAAAATACAGTACCTATGCATTTTGTATCCAATTTCAAATGCTGACTATGCAAAATTGTTCTTCTACCTCAAGTTTAGATTAACAAAGTTAAATGGTGTTAAAGTGGATCTAAGATAACACGACCTTTAAGATTCAAATATTACAATACCATTTGTAACGGGCAAAATTTATTAAAAAAAAAAGAATCATCACGGCGGGAAGTAGGGACTGGATAGCGGGCGGTGAATAGGGCGGCACACTCTGCTTATCGGTATTCATAATTTAAGGTTTTATTTTTAATAACAATAGCCGTTTTTTTAGTGGATGATAATGGAATGGTACCCGCGCTATCGGTATACACCGGTGGGGCACCAGTGAGGGATGATAGGTGAGCATGAAGTAGGACAGTTAGCCCATCGTGACGAATTCAACAAGAATTGTTCACGATGGTTTCCAGGGGGAACCATGTGGAAACCGACCTAATAAGGCATATTGCTAACAATAGGCTATCAAACTCCATTGCTAACAATACAGTTTCAGTGATAACAGGTTTTTTTCACTACTAATAGCTTTTATCCGCGACTTTGTCTCCGTGATCAGGATATGATCATTGGCCGGGATAAATAGTAATACAGGATTCAGAACTCAACACAAGGAAGGATAGATGTATACCAAATTAATAAGCTCACTTTTTCATTCATAATTTTAGTAAGAATTGTGGCAAATAAGTATACGACCTGTCTAATAATAAACGGCTACCATAGCCAATGGACTGACGAATGGACGCCTGAAGTAAATGCGCGTCGCCAACCCGTTTGAAACCTTATTACGCCCTTTTTGAAGAATCCTATGCCATAATCTCTAGAAAAAAGAAGATATTAAAAACATAAAAATAATTAAATGAATTTCCACAAAAAAGATCAACTTCTATTGTGGCAAATCCGTTTATTTCAATTTACAAACTCAACTTCTGAACTGATTTTGATAAAATTCCTATGTGACCAATCTGTAAGTATTTCCTTTCAAAGAAGAAAATTTCCAAATTAACCGATTTGGAAATTTCTTTCAACTGACAGAGTTATAAAGTAACGTTTTATTTAAAGTCGATTGAAAATGTGGAATTTTCTAGGGATTATAAAATAATTTACAAAAACTTTATTGGAAAACCATGACTGTAACTAACTCAGCTCTGAAAATTACAGTAAAAGTAGGTACGATTACTTAAACTCACTAATATATTTGGATCAGCTTAAACATCTGTGTCGGAATTAGGTTATAAAACCTGTATCTCAGAGAATAGCTGTATGATAAAATATTAAACTTTCTGGAGAAAAAAGATATAGCTGAAGGGACATAAAAAAAATGCTATCGTTTTGAGTTTGTATGCAATGCGATATCTTCGCAAATTTGGAACTGATTTTGATAACTTTATTTGCAATAGATAAGATTTGCCCCCATGGTAGTCCCATGATAAATGTTTCACGATTGTAGTAGCTGTTTTATGTGGAGCAAAAAGCACTTGTAAATATTATTATTATTATTGAGAGATGGGGTTTTTCAGGCAGGAAAACCTGTGACACTGCTACCTTTCCATGATCTTTTGTGCTCGCCCCTTTTTTTAAAGTTCGCTGCTAATTCCTATCAATAATAGGGATTTTAAGATGTTTTTTTGTGGCGAATATTTTTATCTGCTCAAGATATAAAATGTGTTTTCCAAAGGAGATATATCGTTTATATATGAGTGGGCTACAGCCACACATTCAGTGCTGCGGCGTTTCTTCCTCATTGTGATAAAATCTGTAAGCACTTTTTGGGCATAAATCTAATTGGATCATGCGCTTTTTAGTTTGCAGTATCCAGAGAGATCCTTGTTAATACACACATATTATTTTTACTCAAAAGAATTAATTTCTTAGAGTAATTTACTGAAAATAACTCAATCTTCGATTTTAACACTTGCAGCATCGTGACAAGGTCCCGTTTACACTCATATTTCATTTTAGAATATTGTTTAAAGACCTCAGAAATGACAATAATTGCCCTTCAGCTGAATATGAAATAATAAGAATAAATAAGAAACTACTATATTTTCAGTTATTGGCTCTAGAAATGCACAGTGTGTATGTAATAAAGCAACATCGATTTTACATCATTTACTTATATTGTAAATGGGAAAATGATTACGATTTTATCTACTTTTTATCGCAATCAGTAAATATATCCCGATCGTGTGAACGAGTCCCGGGTAAAAGCTAGTTTATAATAATATTACGGTTGTAGTTGATCCGGCAAACCTTAATGGCAAACGTTGTTTTGTCATCTGCCACCAACTAACGGGTTCTCTTATCAGAATAAAATCTATCTTATCTCTCAAATTCGAATAAATACACTTTAATTTTTTTTTTAATCGATTGAACGGTTTTGTAGATGAGATTTTTATACAGTAAAATTACTAAATTACAACGCAGTGAAAGAAAAGAAGAAAAAAATAATAAATATTTCTGTTCAAGTAAAGTTACATGTAGGCATTTTTTGAATAGTCATTTAATCATTACCGTTTATTGTAAAGAAAATTTTTTTTAGAATGTAATGTAATGTAAAATACAGTATATCACACCTTCTCATACTACGAGATTTTGTAATAATACATTGATTAAATTGAAATATATAATTTTCATATTTTATTAATATATTTTAATTAAATTCGTTCATCGACATCGCAGTACCGCGCCGGCCGCCGCACTGGCCGGTTGTTTTTTCCTGCGGGCGCTACCTGGCCGTGCCGTAGGTAGGCGTTTCTTGGAACCGTCACGTGATAACGCGATAAAGGGACAAAAACAGATCGCGTTCCGCCGCAGCTAGGTGTTATGTGAAGTGAATATTGAGATGTGGCTGTGTGTGGTGTTTTATCCGATACTGGCTGTAAACAGCTGCTTTCCCGCGTTAAATAGAATGAATGAAGAAAACACATAAAAAAAGAAATAGAAAAAAAAGGAAAACAACAATATTTCAAAAATTCTACCTACTTTATGTATCGTTACCCCATTTGGAATTATAGACAAGATTGCATTTTTTTAATACGCTGCGAATCCGATGAAAACTATCCATTTATTTATTTAAATAACATTATTGACCAAAATAAAATATGGTACAGAAGGCGGACTTAATGCTAGTAGCATTCTCTACCAGACAACCTTTGGGATGAACAGTGAATCACGAACGCAATACTTCATTATAGGAAAATTATCCAATTCCCAAGAAATGAAACAAGAATCCATAATAATAAAACCAAAAAAGAACCAATATTAAAGAGCTACAGTGGCGTTACAACGGAACATATATACGATAGGGAAGCATATATTTTCAGATAAATAAAAGAATTTTCCAAATTGATTTATAACTGATAAAGTTATGAGGTAACAAACAAAACTTTATTTTTGAAGTTAGTTGAAAAATATATAAAAAATAAACACCAAAATGATAGTTTTTAAATAAGATTTAAAAGAATTCTAAATATCCTCTTTATATTGAACATAGGAGTTGAACTGCTATGATATATATCTTTTCAGGTCCTATTACTTTATAAAAACATGACAGATTCGATGCAAGTCAAATGTAAGATAGAAAAATAAAATATATTTTTGAATACTAAATTAATGCTCCTGTCAACTCAGGATTTGCTGGAAGAGATCTGCTACTGAGATAAACTCGTCTGTTGTAAATCTTCGATCAAAATAGTTTGTATTAATACAAATCTCTGTTTTTAAAATACTGTCATTCGTACTATAAAGCTTACTACAGCGAAATACAAAACGAAAGCGCTTTTCTGTAAGGTTTCAAATCTCTCAATGATTCAACTCTCGATAGTTTTTTTTAATTCATCAATTTCATGCATCTAGTAGCGATGTTTTTTTATTTAATTTAGAATGGCAAACAAGCTGACGACTCAACTGATGGAAAGTGGTAATCGTCGCCTATAGACATGAGCAGTACCATGAACATAACAGAGTTTACTGTTTCGCCCATGATACCCACCATGCGTTGCCATTCCTGAGGACTAAGATGTTATTCCTCTGTACCCTGTAAATTCACTGCCATATCCCACCCTTCAAACCGAAACACAGCCATGCAAACACAACTACTTCACGATTGAAACATGAATGGGACAGAGGTGCCCAAGCAAATGACAAAGTAAGTGAGTTTTGTACAAAGTCTCCCTCTGGTAAATTAGCAGGGCAGTTTATTTTAACTTGTAAAACTGTTAGGTTCTATGCTCCTTGATTATAACTATGTAGAGCTGCATTTAGCATAAAAAATGCAAAGATCATCGATCCGACACTTGCACTGATGCCGTGACACACCGACACCACGTTCCATTGGCGTTAATTTTATATGCTGGTTAGCTCATTAGAATTATTTTCATGTGACTTCAAAAAGAAGATACTCAAAACAAGTCAGTTGTAAACCGATTTGGAAATTTTTTTATCTGCAAAGGCATTCTTTAAGGTTGATCCCTTAGAAGTTTTATCAAAATCGGTCCAGTAGTTTAGTCAAACTGTTAGATCAAATAGATCAAAATGGAGTTTCGTCAGTCGCTTACATAATAATGGTAGCGGAAATATACAAAATAATTCTAATCAACTAACCAGTGATATGGACTTCCGCAAAATAACTTTTTTTTATTCAATTAAGAATGGCAAACAAGCTGACGAATCACCTGATGGAAAGTGGTAACCGTCGCCTATAGACATGAGCGGTATCATGGACATAACAGAGTATACTGTTTCGCCCATGATACTCTGCATGCGTTGCCATTCCTGAGGACTCCGGTGTTATTCCTCTGTACCCTGTAAATTCACGCCATAACCCACCCTTCGAACCGAAACAGCCATGTAAACACCACTGCTTCACGGTAGAAACACGAATGGGACAGAGGTACCCAAGCAATCGACTTTTGTACAAAGTCTCCCTCTGGTAAAACTTCTAGTACAGTACAATATTTACAAGTACCGACTTAAGTTAAAGTTGACTTATGATAATCCTAAGTACTAGAGACGCGAGTAACTTTAAAAAGCTAGAAGTTTCATAAGACGCTACAATAGACTAGTCAAGTACCTACTGGAAAAGTATTATTTACTTAGTTAAGGTAATTTGCTAAGCCACGACGAGCGGACTTGGCAAATATTTGAAAATATTTATTTCAGAACATATTTAACAATTGTAAATTGTAATAAAAATTATATTCTAATATGAAAAAAGTGGGGGGAAAGGGATTGTTAGTAATGGAGACTGAGAATCCCATTGCTAGCAATATACCCAACCAGGTCGACCTCCTCACGGTTCCCCCTGGAAACTATCATGGTTAATTCCTGATGAATTCATCATGATGTGCTAACTGGCCTGTTTTCGTTCTCATCTATCATCCTTCACTGGTGCTCCGCCAGCGTATCCCGTTAGCGCAGGCGGGGTAACCATACCATTTTCACCCATCAAAAAAAAATGAAATAGTTGCCCTGTGGTCTCAGCATAGAATGGGCCACCCCTTCCATTTTTGTGAATGTCATAAAAGGTGACTAAGCGAACTTAATGGTCGAAGGATGGACAGTAGCGTCTCTCTTAAAACATCACTTACCCTAACGGTTGCCGGAGGAAAGGGATTGTTAGTACTGATCCATTTCCAGCAATACATATCTATCTGGTCGATCTCTACGTGGTTCCCCCTAGAAACCATCATGGTTAATTCGTCACAATGGGCTAACTGACCTGCTTTCATCATCACCTATCATCGCTCACTGGTGCCCCGCTAGCATATATCGATAGCGCAGGCGGGGTTACCATTCCATTATCATCCATTAAAAAAAACTGCGGTTACCTACCTGCTTGCCAAGCGTGGCAACTACTGGCAAAGTTCCTCTTATGAAGAACGCCGATCATTATGTTCTCTTAGTCGCCTCTTACCACACCCACGGAAAAGAAGGAATGGCCTGTTCTATGCCAGGACCACACATCTCTATTCTTTTTTTATATATACAACTTAGAATGGCAAACAAGCTGACGGCCCACCTGATGGAAAGTGGTAACCGGTACCATGGACATAACAGAGTATACTGTTTCGCCCATGATACCTCCCATGCGTTGCCATTCCTGAGGACTCAGGTGTAATTCCTCTGTACCCTTTAAAATCGCGCCATATCCCGCCCCTCAAACCGAAACATAGCCATGCAAACACAGCTGCTTCACGGTAGAAACACGAATGGGACAGAGGTACTCAAGCAATCGACTTTTGTACAAACTCTCCCTCTGGTATAAATCGTAAGTAGCAATTTTATACCACAATTAGAAGGATAAGTTATTCCTACAGTGTACAATTTCTTAGTGTATTCACTTTATGATCTACAAACTATAAACTAAAAACCTACCAAGTAAGATTTATAAAAATAGTTTTTTGGCTCCTTCAATTTTGTATCTGAACGAACTCTCCGGCGGGATAGGACATGAATACATTCATAAGTTCGGATCCCGGGAGACGGCGGGCCGGAGTTGGCCACTTCTGTCTGGCGAGGGCCCGCATAAATAGCCTGCCATTAGGAACGTTCATTATAAAATGTGGCAACGGTTGTGTTGTCTGTCAAACTTTTTTAACACTTACTAATAATTACTAAAATTAAAATTAATTCAAATGTACGAATTAATTAGAATATATGTACTATATGTATTAATTATTATATATGTAATTTGCAACACCTATTCATGTGAAAGACAATTAATTAACATTTTGATAACCTCACGATGCATTAATAAACAAATTATAAATGTAAAAGTGAGTTTATTTATTTATTTTACACTTTATAGCACATTTTATAAAATAGTAAATACATTTAATTGTAATAAGAAATGATACAAAATGGTACAAAAGGTTTATTTGCTTGTTACCTCGTAACGGCTTAACCAATCGCTATGTAATTTGGTATACACATACTATATGGGATGGTGAAGGCTTTTTATCCCGATCAGGCGGATGAAGTCACAGGAAAAAGTTAGTGTTATAATAAAGTTCATAAAGGTGTTTGGATAATTGTTACTCAAGTAATTAAATCACATTTAAAGGGCGAGGAACATAATTGCATGAAGCATGGGTCGTATCTTAAAATCGCAAGATGTAGCTAGTTAGCTTATTTTCAATATTTTCGATTGATTACTTAAAATTCGGCTTTAGATTATTCTAAATTATTAATAATATAAAACTTAATATAATATAATGTAATGAATATAATAATTTACAATTTTTTTTTTAATTTACAGGGTACAGAGGTACACCCGAGTCCTCAGGAATGGCAACGCATGGGGGTATCATGGGCGTAACAGTATACTCTGTTATGTCCATGGTACTGCTCATGTCTATAGGCGACGGTTACCACTTTCCATCAGGTGGGCCGTCAGCTTGTTTGCCATTCTAAGTTGTATAAAAAAAAATGGTACGCGTATCCCACTTTGAGAAGCTCTAATATAATCCAACAGTGTATATCCTATAAATGAAATTTATTTTTAACCGACTTCAAAAAGAAGTAGGTTCTCAATTCTGTTGTAATATTTTTTTTTATTTTGTTACTTCATAACTCCTTCAGTTCTAAACCGATTTGGAAAATATTGCTTTTTTTTCTGAAAAGATAGATTTACAGATTACTCCAGCAATCAGCAATGGAGTTTGACAGCCCCAATGCTAGCAATATGCCTTATTAGATCGACCTCCACGTGGCTCCCCCTGGAAACCATTGTGAACAATTCTTGTTGAATTCGTCACGATGGGCTAACTGACCTGCTTCATACTCACCTATCATCCTTCGGTGCCCCGCCGGTGTATACCGATAGCGCGGCTGGGGTTACCATTCTATTATCATCCATTAATAAATAAATAAATAAAAAGCCTATGTTAATCTCTGTGTATGTATATACATGCATAATACGAATCCTGTTTCCTACAGGACTGGCTCAGCCTAGTGTACGAATCAATGATAAATTCTGCGCTTATTCAAAAATACTTTGTTAAATAAATAATACTTATCTCTTATCTATGTTGTTAATAGCAGGATGCAATAATAAAACATATATGTGAAAAAAATACGAGACATGTCTTATAAAAATCTGACACAGAACAAACTTAAAAATAATACATTGTTCTAAAAACAAAAAACCTCAGTGTCATCAGCCAGTATTAAAACTCCAACAACCTACTTATACATAGAAATTTTATCAAAATCGGTTTAGTAGTTTAGTTTTGAAATCAAAACAACTAAGTCTCGCTACAATTACATATTAAGGCGTTTCCTTTTTTGTGAAACACATGAATCTTAAATTATTTCTAATTGCATTAACAATGTTGTATTGCGTGCAGTTAGTACAATGTTCGTATTTTAAACTCACATACATAATTATGTTTAATACGGCCGGACAATAACAACAAATCAATTATTTTATTACAACGGTAATGTTTTAATTTATTTAATTAGTTAAATTTAATCGATTATTAATCACAATAAAGTTACGCACGCATGCGTCTTGCATCAGAAATTAACAAAGTACATCCAGACAACTGCATTTTACGACTATATATGTATATACATATAAATATATTAACAATAATGTTGTCTGTCGGTAGATTCGTACAATTATTGATACGCACCTGTTGATTATAATATGGTTATTTAATAAACCGGAAAACTTTTTAAAGCACATCCGA